CGATTGTGTTCAGCTGAAAGTCTCACCTTTAGTTGATCTATCGAAATATGAAAGATGCTCGAATGTTTCACTGATCCTAGAACGTTACTGGTGAACTATTACTTGATAAGGCAATCTGCGATACTGCCGTCGCGGCTAGCTCGCGATACTTATGTAGGGGTGTGTTTCAGCGCAAGCGTCGCTAACTCCGCGCTTTAACCGACTTCCACCTCTCTACGATGAGCATGATTATCCGGTACAATCGTTCATGTTCATCGTGAATCGTTACACGTGGAAATTTTCCTAGTGATCATGCAAATTGGACACGCGGAAATTTAGATCCTCGCGATGAAAACTTGACGAAATGTCCATGAAATCAGAAACAGAGATATATCTATTTATTAAATTATATATGAAATTATCATTTTTGTACGTTCCAATAAAAATGTTTTGTTTTCGAAATAATAAGTTTTATTGAATGAAAATGTGCATTAGCACATTTATAATTTTCTCCTAACGAGATATTAAATAAGATATTACATTTTTATAAAATTCAACATATTTGGACTACATAATCGATATACTGTAATCTTTCAATTATTGCTTTTTGATTAGGGAAGTTTTGCTTCTTAGAAAGAGTTTTAAATGACAAAAGAATTATGGTTTGTTGGAGGACAAGTCTAATGAGCATGATAGAAATAGTAAAATTTAAAACGCAATTTAGTTGTTCCTTTGAATGTATAGGCGCGTGCAATACGTATTATACATGCATCATGACAAAAGTCATTAACATGAACTATGAGCGCACATATATATGACATATAATTGTTTCAGATATCTTTGCGTTACAATGAATCAATATTATGACACTTCTTCAGGCATACTAAAACTTAACTTCTTAAAGTACACTAGCGAAAAATCGATAATCGTGATTTGCACTTTTATAGTGAACCAGAAATCAAACAAAATAAAAAAAAAAATATGTTTAAATAATAAGATATCTTTTTTATGCCTATCTCTAAGAGTTTGTATTATTCAAAATATATCCCTTCAGCGTCATTACAGCGTTGATCACAACCCCAATGTACAGATAAACTTCTGCAAGTTCGGAATTATTTCGCACATTTTTGTCACAGCTGTTTAATGGCTAAAAAATGGCTAAAATCTCATTACACCACATATTTGCAATGGCCTACATGTTTCTAAACATTCTCATAGACGGAATCTTATCTTTCTAAGCAATAAAAATTAACGTTACATGTGAATCTTTGACCTTATGTTTTGCTAGTTGTAAATGTTACGTTTGTAAAAAATTCATGATAAACTTGTCGTATCGTTTTATAAAACAAACAACTATGTTTTCATTTTACATTCTCTACATACTATAAAATAAGATTTTAAGACATGAAATTTTGTAAAATTTTACAAGTTGATTTATTTTGAATTATTACACGTTTGTTACAGTTATTTCATATTGAAGGTCTTTGAATAATTTTTCATTGATATTTTTTTAAGAGAAGAAGGAAAAAATTTAATTATATAAATGTGCGACAAATATACGTCTTTTACTTTACTAATAATTTACTTAAAAATGTTAATCTTGCCGATTCATGAAATATTTTGCATTATACGCAAGGTATCGAGGTATCAAGGTATGTGAATGTGCAACCGCAAGAAACGTGATCATCACAAATAGTTTCTCATTCTTCAAGGAAAACTCTACTTAAGAAAAAAAAAATGCGCGTTTAGGTGCGCGAAAGAAATTTTTGTATTCTTACCTCATGAACGTGTTTCTTTTATATTTTGTGTGTGTGTGCAAAAAATATATTCACTATATAATTATACTCCAAAAAAACTAACGACAAGCACGATTACTGAAATTTTTTATAAATAATTACGTTCAAATTTTCAGTTGTTCGGAAAACAACTTATAGTTCCATTAAAATATCTGATGCTGTAAACAATGTACGATAATTTTAAGATAGTCCATAGAACGCAATAAAGAATAAACAAACATAATATGAAAAACACGATGATTCATGAATCATCAAACATAATAGAAAAACACTCAGAAACTAAGCATGAAATCTATTCGATCCAACTCATCAATAGGATCGTTTCCATCATTGCGTGCTATGAATTTCCATAGGTTCGTGATCAATTTATGGCAACCGCTTGTTGCAGAATCGCCTGGATGAAAAATTAGAGTTTGCGTAACTGCCGCTGATTGCTAATGATCCCATCAAGGTCGTGCGGAAATACGCAACATCCCAATGCAAAAGATACACGCACGTAAGTAACATGAGCATGGTTTCAGCTGTACTTGCATTAAAATGGCGCCACACATTCAGAACGAATAATAAGCTATTACATCAAATTCGATTTATTCCTTTACAATTTATCCATTAAAATGCACTTCTTTAAGGTCACGCGTATCGAATTAATCGTTAATGGACGTGCTGTACGCGTTAACCCCATATCGTCGATATAGTCAGAGGAAATCCGCCATTCAAAGGCCCCTCAGCTGGGAACCTCGTGCAAAACTTGCTCTAAATTATTATGTAATCGCGCATATCAACACTCGAATAACTGGGGGCGCGATTGACGTAATACACGGCGATATGTCACGTTCGCAATTCCATATAATAATAGCGTGTCAATCAACCCGTTTGACTTCTAAAGACGTAAATTATTCTCAAAGTTCGAAAGTATAAAAATTTCTTATATAATATTGCAATAAAAAGTAATCAACTTGTATGTATGCTATTTAAAGAAATCTATTATATATAAATCATAAATATGTAAAAATTAAAAAATATTTTCAAAAAATTTAATAAAAAATAACGGAGTTACAGTTTTTTATAAAATAACTATACATTTCGCGTATATAATTTTTTATTTTATTGTATTGCTAAAATTAGACAAAATCTTTTTTTTTTAATTAGTAACAATTCAAAAATTATTTGTTTCAACATTTTTGTTAAGAAATAATTATTTCAATTTTCGATAAGAAATATTGCTATATGCGCTAATGCGCCAATTATCATAATAATAATATACAGTTATAAAATGTAATGATCTGCATAAAATGATGAAAATTTATATTCCAGTTTCTTAAGGACACAAGGAAAACGCAAACTTCACCGACGCGGTGATCTATAACATGATGTTATATTAGATCGAGCGTAGGTGCGTACATGCTAGAATCGCTTGTGTAATGAGCGTATGACGAATTACTCTCGCTCGAGATAGCGTGGTTACTTTAACCCTCTCTCGCCTACTTATTTTAATAGTTATAACTAATTTTATAAAAGACTTAAATTGCAAGAATAAACTTGTTAAAAAAATAAAAAACCGAAGTAATACGAATATACAAATGTATGAAAGATGTCGCAAGTTTCTTTTCTAGAACCTATTAAATATTTCCAATAGGTATTTCGTATTCATCACCAAGTTATAAATGTGGTATTATCTCATTTTTCTCTAAAAAAAAATAAGACTTTTCTAAAATAAATTATTTTACAAAATTTACACACAGTGAGCAATCAACACCTTCTTATAAAATGTAGAGATAAAAAAATTAAAAACTAAAATAGGACATATATACAATATAACTATTCAATATTGTTTAATATGTATTTCGTTCATCGGTATAAGCAAAATGACGAATACATAGTAATTGATGGAATGGCGTGTCTTTGAATAAGATTATTTGGATAGACCGCCTTTTTCATCATAATTCAGACACAATAAAACTAGAAGGTGGATAATTAATGGCTATTAATATTAAACGATTGTCCATACATTCGCAAATTACATATCTTGAAATTCCTTCAACATCATACGTTCACTTCGTTCGTTAAATGATAATTTAAGTAACATCAACGGTAACATTTATTTCCTACACGTAAATGTATGACCGATTTGATCAAACCTAATTAATAATGACTCACTATAATAGCTGCATACAATTGTTGAGCTGCGATAATATTGCGAGTGTTTTTACAAGGTTATTCTTTTTGCATTCCATTTTGCATCAATATCATTGCGCGTTAATACTAAAAGAGCCAGAGCAAAAATTATGAAAAAAAAGTATTTTATTTATAGTTACATATTTTGTATTATCTGCAGTTTGTTGAAGAATTTGATATTATTTAATGATTTTTTCCACAAAAAAGTTAAACAAAAAAATCGGTAAAAATTGTTATTTTATATAATTACATTTCCACCTTAATAAAGCGCTATGATATATAAAACATGTTGGCTCTTTCAAGATTAATATTTCTGATCAGATCTATTTAGAGTTCAAGCAATTTTACTTACTTAAAAATCTTACTTTAAATCTTTATTCTAAGGGCAAAATGTATATATTTTCTTATGATTTGTATTTTATGTACAACTCAGTTATACAACTATCGTATAGTTTAGAATTATTAAAAATAGAAAAAGAAAGAAACAATATAGATCAAGTGAACTTAATCAAATCAACTATCATATTAATGTTTTTAAATGATTTGCTAAAATTGCAGATTTTAAAATTGCAATTAATAAATTGCTTAAAATTTTGCTAAATGTTTAACACATATAGACATTGTTTCTCTGCTACATATACACCTAATACTTGCTCAGGCAAATTATTTTGTGGAACTTTAAATATAAGTATAGTGAACTCATACTCATAATACATTGATTTATGTTTAATATAACATAAACTAAAAATAATTCTCTAAAATTGTTCCAATTCACATTTTATGTCAGTCTCACATATTGTAAACTTTCTTGCGTAACATGATGCTATAAGTTGTAATAACAGAATTATATACGAGATGTCCATTTCCAAAATTAACCATTTCCGAAATGGTGGACCGTGCAAAATATTTATTTTATTTATTTTCGTTTAAATACGATTTGTTGATTTGAAAGAGAGAGAGAGAGAGAGAGAGAGAGAGAAGAGAAAGAGAGAGAGAGAGAGAAGTGTTCCACAATAATACATTGCCCACTATATTCTTGTGTCATTTTTGCAAATTAGTATATTAGAATATTTTTTCGGACATATACGATTTACATTTGTATCCATAATTTCTTTCTCAACATGTGTCGAAAATACATACAAATCTGTGCATCCTAAATGTAAGAATAATAAAAATGCTTGGTGAAATGTTAAAGTACCATGTCACGTAAATGCATAAAGTATGACGCGCAGACTAATATAAAATAAATTTAAAAAACTATTTGCCACATCCAAGTTTAAACATACTTTGGAAGTATTCTATCAAAGTATTTGCTCTTCAAATATTTATCAGTGTATTAAAATATTGTAGGACAATTTAATTATAACTAAATCAAACTTTAGCATAACTTAAGTATGAATAAGTTAATAAGAAATACAATAAAAAATGGAGCTTCACCATAAATGTGATCAAGAATTGATCGATCCATATATAAATATTACATTATAATAATTTTGTTGCTGAAATATTTTGTCATATTTCTTTAATGAATTCCTTTAAGAAATTTAAATTACTGCACCAACAGCAATATGAAATTATCGGGCAACAAAGTTGATCACGTAGTCGGCATTTTAGCTTCCATTTGGCTGGAAGACGTTTAATATTATACAACTGCTACATCCTGCGGTAAGATAATGACAAGTGGATTCGTCAAGATGCGTATTCGACAATTATTTCGTCTAATATTAAAGTACAATATTTCTATTTTTATATAGATATTGTAATGTTTCAATTTGTTATTATCTTATCGCAAAACACAGAATTATCAACAAAAAAGCTAAAAGATAAAAATAGGCCTAAAGAAATGTTTGAACTGAAAACTAATGTCAAGTTTAAATTCTGACTTAAATAAGTATATCGCAACAATTAGTATAGAATTAGAGTTAGGAGAACATTTCTTGGCATAAATTTACAATCGATAAGATCAAAAGACAGAGAAAGATAAAGAGAGAAAAAGAGAAAATTCTCACAAACTTGAACTAAACTGACTTATGCAGTTCGTTGGATGATGTGTATTCCGCTATCTGTGTGAACGGGCGAAGATAACTCGCCGACTTTCAGTGCAAATGCTGCTTGCTCAAAGGGCTTCTGCATTGCGCCTCGACTAAAAGGTCCGAGGTCACCGCCACGCTTTGCAGAACTGCAGTCGCTGTACTTGGAGGCGAGCTCAGCAAATGTTGCTTTGCCAGATGCAATTTGTTCTCTATAAGCTGTTAAATAAATAAATTATTATTTGTATAATATTCTAATAAAAAAAGCAAAAATATTGTTTGCACATAGAGCAATAATAAATAATTTAAAAAAAAAAAATTTATAGGCTTACACTTGACCAAGTCGAGAGCCTCTTCCTTTGACCTAGTGATATTCTCTTCCCGCCAGGAGGAAGGTCGTCGAGATCCTGAATGTTTCACAAGTAGATGAGAGCATTGCACTTCCTCCGGACCGTCAGCCTTGCCATTGCTGGATGGATCTGCAGGCTTATCCGGTCTATCCCATTGACTTTCCTTAGTATAAATATTTAAATAATAGTGTTGACCTGCAATAATTTCATTTGCTTAAAACAAAAATTGAAAGCTATGCTTTCTTTCAAATTAAGTGAGTTTTAGAATCATATTCAATATGCATAACCCTGGAAAACAAAATTATAATTTTTCAGAAAAACAAAATACTTTCACAGATTTAACTTTTTAACATATATTTTATATTACAACTTCAATCATCTTTAAAAATATATGTTTCTATAGATACCAGTAGGTATTAAGCTGATACATAGATAATAAAGATAATTATGCATTGTTTTTAAAAAATTTTTATGCAATTAATAAGACAATTGAGCCTTTTTAGCTCTGATATATCATTTAAAATTATTAATTTTTAATTTATATTGTGTTTCTGTTATCTAAATTTTGTAAGTCTGTACAAGCTTTATAAGTTTTGACTTTTGTTTTTTGTAAGTACACTGCAACTTTCAATTTGTGATAATTATATAGCAAATAAGCCGTATAATAATGCAGAGAATTTTATTTCAAAAATGCAGCCCACAGTCAGCCTATTAATTTAAAAATATCCCTAATAAACATTTAATGAACTTGCTGATACAAGAAAGATATCAATAAATTAATCATCTTTATAAAACAAATATTTGATTTGTTATAACGAATAATCAGTACTTTCCTAAAGCTACGATAGAATGTCGACCGAAGTATCGTTCATCCATTTTTGACAAAAGCCTACGCTAACTACATATTTTTTCTTCAATATTTTCTATTAATATAAAATACAGTTGCGAGGAAACCCGATGAAGGAACTCGGTGAAAGTGAAGAGAATTTATTCGACCACTTGGAATTGATCGGGTCGACAGTGTCGATGAAAAATGCCGGCCATACGTAGAACGCGTATTCTTACCGGCGACAAGTGCGACGGCGAGATATTCAGAGAAATTCACAGACTTGCGACAATCACATGCATTATTTGCCGCAAAAATCATTCATTTCGACATACCGGTTGATCTGCTAAGGCGTTTCTCCCAACCCGCTGGTAGTTCTTCGTCCGCCATTGTTAGCGTATTTTTGGAATATTTTGCTCCTGTCCAGCTCTGCTTTCGGATTCACGTCAAACGCCGCTCATCTCCATTACGCTGAACGTCGTCTGTGCTATTGAGCTCTATATATATATATTACATATATAACTGGCATAGGCACTGAATCACGAGCCGAGAGAAAACCACATCTGGTGTATTCCTGTCCTTCTACGTACAGTCAAGTTCGAAACTTTTGACTGTTGTTTGGCGGAGTAGTACTAAGGCACTATAAAACGTGAGTATTCTCACATCTGCGCCATTTTCGCTCCATTCCCCCACTCCTTGCTCTCTCGCCTAATCACCATAAACTTCTTAGCTCAGCGAGGGCGAGCTAAGAAGCTAAAGGCCGGTATTCATAGTCCGTTCTTATATTCAAGATCGTCTTAAGTACAAACTTATATTCGCTCTCTTCGTCAGACACAATCTATGTGTGACGAAGAAAGCAAATATAAGTCCGTGCTTAAGACGATTTTGAATATAAGAACGGACTATGAATACCGCCCAAAGACTGCGTTCGGGGAGAGCGCTATCAGCGCTATTGTGTCACTCTATCCTTGTTTTATGTCCAATGAACGATAAAGATAGAATGATGCGATAGCGCTGATAGCGCGCTCCCCGAACACAGCCAAAAGGGTGAGAGGGCAAGGAGTGGAGGAATGGAGCGAAAGTGGCGCAGACGTGAGAATACTCACGTTTATAATGCCTTAGTAATACTACAATCAGTGGCTGCGTTCCGTAAAGCGCATATGCGCGCATCTATCTATAGTATACGTTATGTAGTATACGTTATGTATACTATAGATAGATGCGCGCATATGCGCTTTACGGAACGCAGCCAGTATAATACTCACGATCGAGCGTAAAAACTTTTTGACCTGCCTGTATTCTCAATGATATGCGCATGCGTAGTTTACGCATCTTCAGATTTACCAATCTAATAATTCGAAATTATTAGTGATTTTTGTTGCGCATATTAAGATATATTCACACATAAACTTAAATAAACGCTTAAACATACGTACAAGAAAATGGATTGGTCATTAGAAGATGCATAATGGCGAATTCCCACTGAGCGCGTTACGCATGGCGTCATTCGCGCGTCACGAATTAACCAATCAAAACATCTCATTTTATCGGCGCGGCAAATAATGCAATAAAATGGGATGTTTTAATTGGTTAATTCGTGACGCGACGAATGACGCGCGCGTGACGCGCTCAGTGAGAATTTGCCATAAAGAAATGTACCAATCCAATTTTTTATGCGCTATGCAAATTTATGTAAATATACCCTTATTTTTCTTCAATTGTAACCAGGGCAGTGTTCACGGCAGTGATACTGTTGTGTTTCGTGTGGCTAGGTGGCGCAGAATCGCCTCTGATCATCCCCCTTCCCCCCCTCTACTTTTAGAAGAGAAAGTTTGCATTCCTCTTCCAATTCTGTCAAATAAGGGGTTATCTTATTTCGTGTAACTAAATTTTCTTCATTTTACTCAAGATAGGCATCCTATGGAATCTTTATACATTCCATTGATGTGTAAATAAATTCCGATATCATGACAACCAGGACAGTTTTATATTTAGGTGATACTGCAAACAGATGGTGCGAGAATTTTTATATAAAATTGCAACATTCTTTCTTCCCTTTTTTTATCAATTTTTTATGATTTTTTTTCATTTTTGAAGATTAATCTATGTTTTCTATTACAATATTATAATATAGTTCTTTTATAAAATTGATTTAATGACAAACATTTTCTACATTTGTTGCTGTAAAATTATACTACAAACTTTATTGTTTTTTAATAGAAGATTATATTATAATTTCTTATATGAATTTACCATTATAATTTATATATAATTTAGGTAATAGTAAGCTTTAATTACGCAAGATAATTTTATGTATCCATAATTTAAGAGAAATTTAAAACGATATAAGTTACTTAAATTTTCTTTTTAAACTTATAATAAATTACAGCCAATATGCACAGAATGCATTAATAATTAAACTGAATTCAATGTTTACTAATGTTGATTTTTCTTTTTCTATTAATCAACACTATCAACATTAGGCTATTCCTTGTTTTATGCTCTGCAGTCTATCTCCTAAAATATAGATGTGTAATTAAGAATTATTTTATATAATTATGTCATAATTTTTTATATTTACTAAAAAAATATATGCTATATAAAATCAAATATATTTATCGAATTTTAGTTTCTTTACGACTGTACAATACTGTCGACCAAAATTCCAAACAGTACAATACAGACAAATAAGAAGTTTAAGAAAGTCGCAAATTTCTTTGAAACAAGAGTCTCCTTTTTTCAATGTTTCTGTCGAAGCTGGAACTCCACAGCCTGCAAGATTGTGGAAGCATCTTGGTTTTACTATAATGGTAAATAAAAAATAACATGGTTTGCAAAGCTACTTATTAATTTTTCTTATGTAACAAAGTAATAGATTTTCTATATAATTCTAATTTTAAAACGAATAAGTTCTGTATAATGAGTAACTTATAAGTCTGTAAATTTTTTTTAATTTTAATAAAATATTTTATTAAATATATAAGAAGAAATAAGTTAAAACATTAACAGAAATATTGCCTATAATATTAAAAATAAACTGCACATTAAATATGATATTAATGTCAAATAGATGATGCATATATTTCTTTTTATAATTCTTTTGAATAAATGATTTGTAATGATTTTATGCTTTTACTTTATTAGTTTAGCGGAGCCACCATGGTGGGTGCTGCAATTTTGGAGTATGAACGTATCAGAAGCCAAGCATATAAAATGATTCACCGTTATAAGCAATTTCGGATTAATGTGCGTATTAATTAAAGAAACATTTAATCAATAATTTTATATGTTTTAATATTCAATAATGTGTATCAATTAGCATACAGGATGGAGAGGTGAAATGGAGGCATGGTGGAGAAACTTGAAAGAAGGAGAAAAGATGTTCATGCCCATGTGCTTTTTAAATGTAATTGTATTCTTAGCTTGGCGGGTACCGGCATTGCAGAAATCGATGGTGCGCTATTTTTGCGCCAATCCTGTATCTAGTAAGTGATATTGTCATTTTAAGCAATTGACGCAGAAACTTGCTATAATTTCCTTTTATTATTATGAATATTAATTGAAGCAATTTTTTATACAAGATGTGTCATATTGGTCTATGGTACTTTCTACCTTCTCACATTACTCCATATTCCATCTGGCTGCAAACATGTATGTGTTACATAGCTTCAGTGCAATAGCTGTGTCATCATTGGGGAGAGAACAATTTTTGGCTCTATATTTATCAAGCGGAGTGATATCCAGTTTTGCTAGTCATGTATATAAAACTATGTTTAATGCGCCAGGTCTTTCTTTAGGAGCG